ACCCCCCAACCCACGCGGGAGGTCTTCACCCGAAGCCCGTCAAGTCGCCGTGTTTGGACGATGCCACTCATGTACCTTGTTCTGATTGCCAGTGTTGACCGCTATGACTTGATCGCCATTGTCGCCCACATCTACCTCCATATCGCGCTCCCCACCCTTCTACTTCCATTGACCAACTCGGTTGCGACGCGAGCAGGAGGCGATGAGCCGAGACGGAGCGGGGAAGGTGGCGGGCGAGGGCGATTGGCGCACGACTACACTCGAGGAAGGGGAGCAAGACACACAACTACGCGCACGCATTCATGTCGGCTGTAGGAGGCTCAGAATGGCTGCCCGTGTGGGGCAAGCGCGAGGTGGCGCATCGGGAGACTGAGATCTGCGAGCTTGTCGAGCTGCTGGCGTTCGACCAATGGTCCGACCTGTTCAAGCCGTTCATCGCGCAGCTCGGCGCACCCTCGGCACTCTGCGGCTATCTCTCGCTGGCCAACGGAAGCGTGGCTGCTGCCGAGCTGGCAGGCGGGCCGGTGTGCGGGGTGGCGGCTGTTGATGAACTGTTGGATCGGCTGTGTGACGCGGCGGACATTGTCCCGCGGGTGGCGAGCTTCATGGAGATGGTCGCCGACAAGCGGACGGCGTACATGGCGGCGTCGGACCATGTCTTTACCGCGCAGGAGAGGCGGGCGTACCTCGCCGACTGGGTCGCCAACTACGAGATCTCGGACGTGCTGGCACATCTTGCCCTGCCCAACCTCGTCTTTGTCCGCAACATCGAGCGCGAGCCCGAGACGTGCACCTTTGAGGAGGCAGCGCGACTGGAGGACGAGGCCCGGTTTGCCGATCTGCTCCTCTTCTTTGACGTGTCAGGCAGGCAGCTGCGCCCGTCTGAGTTCCTAGCGGGCTACGATCCGCTGCGTCAGGTCTACGTGGTCGACTTGCTGGGCCATTTTGTCATTGCGGTGCCTGTGGTGGCGGCTCGCGGCGAGGGAGCGGGGGTGAGGCGCGTGCTGGCGATGATCAACACCTCGCGCGGGTCGTACATCGACAAGGCGATCCTGCCCCGGCTGGCGGCAGTGGTGTTTGGCGGTGCGGGTGACGATGCTCTGCAGTACGCGAGCTAGCTCCGAGCCCGGGATGTGTTGGCAACGTTTACGTCGGTTAGAAGATGGCGCCAATGAGCGAGCCACCGGCAGCCTCGCGGGCAACGATCTCATAGTACTCGTAGATGTTGGTGACGGCGAGGAGGATCGAGGTACCGGAGCCGAGGGCACCCATGAGGTCAGCCACGATGGAGAGAGCGCCGATGCACAGGCCGCCAAAGGAGGCGGCGATGGGGATGTACATGTTGAGGACGCGCTTGAGCGAGGCATCGCGGTGGCCGGGCATCGACATCCGCTGGGCCTTGAGCTGCTTGAGCACGTCGCCGGGCGTCGAGTTGGAGACGTTGATCCAAAGACGAGAGATGGCAGCGCAGGTGCCGAGGACAAAGACGATGTAGAAGACGGCGCGGAGCGGGTCAGCGACAAAGCCCGAGAGCGACTCGGGGCGCGAGATGTAGTAGGCGAGGCCGCCGACGGGCATGTTCTGGCCGCCGCGCGAGTCCATGGCCTGCCACTTGCCGAGGAGGCCGGCAATGGGGTTACCCTCAAAGCGGGACCAGAGGAGCTGCGAGATGAACATGAGGTTCGAGACAAGGGCCGACTGGAGCATGATGGGCATGTTGGCGGTGTAGAAGAGCTTGATCGGGTACGACGACTTCTGGCGGGTGCCGTCCGACGAGAGCGGGATGTTGACCTTGAAGCCCTGGAAGAAGATGACAATGAAGAACACCAGCACCGTCGCAATGAGGTTGGTGATGTTGGGCATGTATGGCCGGTTAAAGGCCTCCTTGAGCGCACGGACCTTGTCCGACCGCGTCATCATGAGGTAGAAGAAGGCCACCACCGCGCCCTCAAACTGCGTCCCGTTGCCCTGGTTGACGGCGTACGGCGAAAAGGTCTTCCACATGATGGTCTCGCACACGTTCGTCGTGACAAAGAGCGAAATGCCAGCGCCCAGACCGTAGCCCTTCTGCAGCATCTCGTCAAGCACAATGACAATGAGGCCCGAGACAATGAGCTGGACCACAATGAGGAGCGCGTTACCCATGCCAATGTCCGACAGGTTGCCGTACATGCCCGACGAGACGTTGGCAATGGCGTGGAGGAAGGTGATCACAATGCCCACAAGCTTCTGCGCGCCCTTGAGGAGCTCGCGCTCGCGGCGCACGTTCTGGTCAACCGAAATCAGCTTGGCGCCCGAGAGCAGCTGGATGACCAGGCCCGAGGTAACAATCGGCGTGATGCCAAGCTCCATGAGCGTACCGCGGTTGGCAGCGAGAATCATCCGCATCCAGTAGAACGGATCCGACGAAGCCGACGACGCAATGCCATAGAGCGGGACCTGGCAGCACACAAGGAAGATGAACAGCGACGCCGCCGTCCACATCAGCTTCTCGCGGAGCTGGATCTGCCGCTCCGGCGACTGCACCTCCGGCAGGAGCGGCATGAACGGCTCCAACAGGTAGATGAGCTTGGCTGTCCCCGCACCACCACACACCACATATCCGCACCACCAACAGCGTGAGCGTCAGCACCAGCTCTCACGTGAGTCGGGAAGAGGGACACGGGGAGCCACCAGCCACAGCGGTGGGGCCGTCGCGATCGCAGCCTCGGGTCGTGGCACCCGTTGACGGGGGATGGGCACGGGGGACGAGGGAAGCTACGAGGAGGCAGGGGAAAGGCATGGAGGTGTAGTACTATGCAAATACACAGACTATGTGTGTGTGTCTCGCCTGCTCCCCCACGACTCGGCTCGGGCTAGGCCCTAGGGGGGAGGCGAGGGCCATGTGCTTCAGAGGCGAAAATAAATTGTATGCGGCGGCAACGGGAGGGCAAGGCAAGGGAGCTCAGCTGGTTTGGCCATGACAAGGGTGGCGGGACGAGGGAGTGGCATAACCAGACTCTCGTCCAATGCTAGGGATGGACGCTCATACATATACCTGCCAAATATCTACCTCTGCCTCCTCTATCCTTCTTACGTACTCTCCTTCGACATGGTGACGAGTTTCCAAGTGAGGTGCCTGCCGTACCCTCGTCGGCTCCTCGCCCTCGCTGGTGGCGGGTCGTTGACGTTTCCGCCCATTGGCCAAACGGCGACCTGCCGAAAAACTATGGCTGTCACGAGGGGGCGGGGATGAGGCTTTGGCTCGATTGCATTTGAGGGCGAGGGGGGGGGGGGGGGGGGAGGATGCTGATGGAGACGTACGACAGATACAGTTGTTGCCTGCGCATACTCCTCCATACAGGCATATACATCATATACACCATCATCTGCCCACGTCTACCCATCGGGCCAGTGCGGCATACTGGTTGCGGCCGATGTGGTGGCCGATGTGGCACGGATTCAGGGTGCAGTTGCTGGCGCGCAGTGCTTGGCCGACAGAGATCACGGCGGGTGCTAGAGTGAGTGTGGCGAGCGAGGGCGAGAGTCTCTTGATTCGTCGTAGCGAGAGTACGAGTGATGAGAGCGAGTGGGCATGCGGTCAGCTGTCGCCGTCGGTGTTCAAGGCGGTGGCCATCCACTCAAGGGCGGCCGGAAGGCCCGACTCGGTGGGATCTGTGGCTGTGGCGATGGTGGGCATGATGGTCCATGTCCGCGCCTCGCCAAGGAGGTCGATGAGATCAAACTCCTCGATGATGGTGTCAACGCTGGCTGCGTGCTCCATGTCTTGCTTGTTGGCGAGGATGAGGACGGGCGCAAACTTGAGCTCAGGCTCAGCCAGTATAGTCGCGAGCTCGTCCTTGGACTCGTAGAACCGCTCCATGTCTGTCGAGTCGATGACCCAGATGAGGCCACACGACTGGATGATGTAGTGCTTCCACAGCGGGCGGACCCGCGACTGGCCGGCAACATCCCACACGTCAAAGGACAGCTTCTCATGCTCGATGCCGCGAACGTTGAATCCGAGCGTAGGCGTTGTCTCCACCACCTCGCCCAGCGCCAGGTTGTGGAGCACGGTGGTCTTGCCTGCTGCGTCGAGGCCCAGCATCAGCAGCCGGGTCTTCTTGCTCCCGTTGCCAAACAGCTTGCGGACGGCCCGGACGAGGACGCCGCCCATAGTAAGAGGGGAGTATGTGAGTGTGGGGTGTGGGGTGGGGTGTGGGTTGTATGGCTGTGGGCGTGGGTGTGGTGGGGAAGGGGTGGGACGGTGGCTGTGGTTGTCGAGCGGCGGCCGGTCCGCCACCGCACTCGCCACGGCCGTCCACCACCATGGCAGACATCATCGCGACACTCATCCTCCCCCCACACACACACATCGCAAGTCACATCCACACGACCGACCGTCATCAGTTATCGGATTGGCACTGTAGATTCGGGTGATGGCTATGGCCGTGGTCGGTGACGTCATGCGGTCGATGCGATGCAGCTGCAATCGCTTGGGCGGGAGGGGGAGTGAGGGAGGGGAGGGGTTGCCGACAACCGATGTCACTTCGGAAGGTTGGAGATGGTGTGTGGCGGAAGAAAGAAGGTACGTAGAAACTATTTGTACAAGACCTACAGTGTGTATACTCTGCTCTCCACTATACGGTTGCTTGCGATGGCTGCAGCACCCGACTCGGCGCGGCTGACTCTGGAGGAGCTCCCCGTGGATGTGCTGGGCGAGGTGGCGTCGTATCTCTCGTGCTTAAGTCTGGTGGCGCTGATGGGCACGTGCCAGACGATTCGACAGGCGCTGATGCATGATGCGCTGGTGTGGCGGGTGCGCTTTGGTGTCGCCGACTATGAGGCGTTTGCACGCGGGCTATGCGCTCCGCCTGGTACGGTAGTGGCGATATCATCGTCGAACAACCGATACACGCCGATGGAGTTGTTTGACTTGGCGGTGGTGGTACCGGGTGGGAACAGCTGCGGCGACGCGGAGAGCATCAAGCGGGCGCGGGCGTCGCGCGCGGTGGCGGACGCGCATGAAATGATCGCAATGCTCGAGGCGAGCGGAGTGGCATCCGCGGGTGCGGCCAACACCGTGGCCGTCTTCCACGACCATGTCAACGGTGGATCGTTTGTGACGCCGATGGCGGCGCATCTGGGTGCGCGGATGATGGCGGCAGCTGCCGCGGTGGGCGTATTTGTACCAGATTCCATCTACAGCCTTGCTAGGGTGGATGGGGACGACGATCCGCTCCAGCTCGGCTTGGACACGCTCGGGTACGTGCCTGGTGAGTTTCTGGCGGCGACGAGCCGCGGCCGGTACCGCTTCAGCTCGATTGCCATCGGCTCTGGGCCGCAACCGGAGCAGCTCCGATGGCGATTTGTTCTCCTTGTTCTGATGGTGCAGGCCAAGACCGGGGCGCTGTCGGATAGTCCGCAGCTTGCGGATGCCCTCCTACCACCGATGACGATGTTCTCGTCGACGCCGTCGGTGCAAGGGCAAGGGCAGCTGGACGAGCTGATGGAAGCATGCAAGTTTATGGAGTTTGTGAAGAGGGGGTGGGAGCCCGATGATGACACCACCAAGTCGATCTATGAGACGTGCACTCCCAACTGGCCGCCAAACCGCTACCTTTCCGTGCCTGTGTTTCGGGTCAGGGAGCTGGTCGAGGGCGTCGATTCGTTTCTCGAGCATGTGGTGTCCAATCTGGCTGCGCAAGAAGCACGGTAGCCGCTGAGCACAAGGATTCCTTGATTACACAGCGCCAACGCGCGGCTCAAGCTCCGAGCCCGAGAGGATCTTGGGCATGTTCTTCTGCAGCGAGTCGTGGAGGGCGCGATAGGCGGAGAGAAGGAGCGAGAAGGAGACCCAGAGATTGGAAAAGTAGCGGTCGTCAAGGTCGATGATCGAGTTGATGAGGTCGGCGTTCCAGGGGCGGCGGAGAACACGGGCGACGAGCGCGCCGCGCGACTGAAAGTAGCGGTGGATGCTGCGGAGCTGGGCAACTACGGTGGCTTCGTAGCCCATGACCTCAGTGAGGACCGTGATCTGAACGGCGACGTCAAACTGCTTGACGCGGTCGGTCGACGACGGGACGCGGAGCTGGATCCAGTTCTTGATGGTGGCAACAGTGTCGAGGAAGACATACATCTCGTGCTTGATCTTGTCTGAGAGAGGGAGGATGACCGAGTTGACTCGGACCCGAAGCGCCTTGAGCGCCTCGGCGTCGGACCACTTTCCGTCGAGGCCGAGCATGTCTGCGGTGACCTGCGCAGCCTCGGCGTCACTCGCGCGCCACGCGGCAGGCATCTTGGGCCCCGAAAACTCGAGGGACGACGAGTCGGATGAGGCCGACGAATCGGACGACCCGGCCGAGCACGCGTCCGAGCCCGAGCCCGAGCCCGAGCCCGAGCCCGAGCATGGCGAGCCAGCGCGCGAGGCAGAAGTCATGCCGGTCACATGGCCGTGCGGCGGATGCGGCGAGCCCTTGCTCGCTGACGCTGTGCGGACGAGCGACGGGCGCCGCGATGGCGACGCGCTTGGTGTCGCGGTCACCGACGGAAAGGTGCCAAACGGCTGGACCCGCGGCGACGCCGCCATAAACCGCGGCAGCGGCGACTTGAGCGCATCCTGCGCCGCGCCGGTGGTGCCGAGCGTGCCGGCAAACAGATTGCCCGACGAAGTCACCATGTCCAGGTTGGCCTTGCGGTACTCGGCCCAGTTGGGCGCGTCGTACTGCGACGACGAGACGAGCTCGGCCATCTCGCTGATCTTGGCCGGAATAACCTCGGTAATGACCTTGGAAGCCTCTGCAGCCACAGTGGCTCGCAGCGACTCCATAAACGCCAACGCGTCGACATCCACGTCCTTCGGGCCCATCATCGGCCGCGCTCCCGCTCCCGTTCCCCCTCCAGCCGCGGCCGTACCCTTTCCGCCCCGGCCGGCCTTCTTCTTTCCCTTCTTTCCCTTACGAGCCGCCCGCCGCGCCGCCTTTTCTTCCTTGGACAGGATGCGGATGCGCCCGCCCTTGAGCACGACACTCATGGTCTGTGTGGGTGAGTGAGGTGGGTACCCAGCTGTAGCTTCCCCTGTGGTGGGGGATGGAGGATGGATGCGCCTTTGAGCCAAGTCATGCCACCACCGCCCACCGTTGCCACTGCCATTGCCATTGCCATCGCCATCCAACGAGTACATAAGGACGATGCAAGAGCGAGGGAGATTTGCTGCTTGTCATAGATCGGTCATCGACTAGATCTCAGAAAGTTTCTAGGCTTGCTCCACGAGTAGCCATCACCGCCATTGGTCATGGCGTCAGGACGCGCAAAGCTGGCGTGCGCGCCTGCAAGGCAAAGCACGGAATGGGGATCTGTCAGTGCTGGACAGATGCTTGACGGATGCCTGGATGGATGGATGGTGATCCATGGATTCATCCGCTGGCTCATCACATCCACCCACTCACACATGCGCCCCACAGATGGTCCGCTGCAAATGCGAGGCAGCTCTCCCCCACGCCGCCACCGCTCAAGCCCCCGCCCCGATCAAGCCCCCCCCGATCAAGCCCCCTGATCATGACCCCGATCATGACCCACCCTGGTGTCATTCCCCCCCTCCCCCGCCACACCACTCTTCCCTACACACCCAGTCACACCTCGGGGGACCAAGGAGGATGGCGTCCGTCGACGAGCGCAAGCTGCTCATCATCGGTAAGCGTGTGGATAGGGAAGGAGGGACGGGGAGGTGGAGAGTGGCGGGGAGTGGCGGGGAGTGGCGGGCGCAGCAAAAGGCCATGCGCCCGAAAGTGTTCCAATTTTCCCCCCTGTCCCCCCCCCCTTTCCCCTGTCCCGTCCCATCCCAAAGACGGTGTGGGCAAGCAGCCAAGAAGGGGAAGGGGGCGTATGGGCATGAAGAGGACGAGTTACTTACTGGGTCCGCTATGGTGGGGCTTGGATGGGAGTAGGTGACTCTGCGGTGGGCAAGACGTGCATTCTCAAGCGGTATGTCAAGGACGAGTTCACCCGTGAGCAGCCTACCATTGCTGGGCAGTATCTGCGGCGGACGGTGCGACTGGCGTCTGGGGGGAGATCACGCTCAACGTGTGGGACACGGCCGGGCAGGAGCGGTTCTACTCGGTGACCAAGCAGTTCTTCCGCCACGCAGACGCCGCCATCGTGGTATACGACGTGACAAACCGCCACTCGTACGAGGGCATCATCCAGAAGTGGGTCGACAAGCTCCACGCCGAGTGCGACAACGACGACATCGTCGTTGCCCTCGCCGGCAACAAGTGCGATCTCGAGGACCAGCGCAAGGTCTCCACCGCAGAGGCCATGTCGCTTGCGGCAAACGCCGGCATGCTGTTCGGCGAGACCTCGGCTGCTGCCTCGATCGGCATCACCGAGCTCTTCCAGGAGATTGCCGAGCAGCTCGCCTCACGCGAGAGCTCGCACGACGCCGGCCCCGCCCTTGTCCAACTCAACCTCGATCCCAAGAAGGACTCGGGCTGTCCGTGCTGATTCCTGCTCGACGGTCATGCCTCGACCTCTTCCGAGCTGATGCAACTCGACCACGGCCTCGTCGCTCTCGGCGTTTCCCTGTTTCTCTTCCTCTCCAACCCCGGCCACTGCTTCGGCCGCGCGTTGGCAGAACAAACACATCCTCAGCCCTCACCCTGTCCGCCAGCCGCCGTCGCCACGTGTGCCACTTTTGCACCTGTGCGACCCAGGACGATCTTCCCAGACCCGACGCCAGCTCCACCCACGCCCACCCCTCCCTTGCCCCTGCTCCATGTCAGACTCGTTCTTCTCCGAGTCGGACGACGCCGCCCATGGCCGGCCGGCCTCGGGCGGGTCGTCGGACGACTTTCTATCCTTCTCGGACAGCGACGCTGAAGGTGCGGCTGCCGTGAGCGGCAGCCACGACCCGGCTGCTGCCGCGCTCGCCGCCCGCCTCAAGGCCATGCATGCTGCTGCAGAGGCGACACTCGCAGAGTCGTTGCAAGCCCAGCTGGAGACCGCGCTTGCCGACGCCGCCGCCGCACGGGCTGATGCCGTCGCCGCCGCCGCCGCCGCTGCGGCGGCACGAGCCGATGCTGACGCGCTGCGCGCCCGGCTCGACGAGGTGGAGGCTTCGCAGGACTCGGGCGAGGCACTTGCTGCCACACAGGCCCGGATCGAAGCGCTGACTGCAAATGTGGCCAAGCTCAAGGCCGACGCGGCGGATGCGGCCCGCAACGAGCGCATGGTCAAGTCCAACACCCACGCCACGATCTCGGCGCTGGAGAAGAAGCACGCGCTTGCTGCGTCCAAGTGGGAGGCTGAGCGCGCAAAGCTCGAGTCGGAGCTGCTCGAGGCCAACACGTCTTGCAATGCGCTGTCCGATGACCTCGCCCGTGCCACCTCGCATGCTGAGATCGTCGAGGCCGACCTCAACGCCGCCAAGGCCGAGATTGCCGACCTTGTGGCCCAGCTTGATGCTGCCGACAACGCCGCCGCTCCCGATTCCGGGCCTGATGATGCCGAGGCTGCTGCTGACACGCCGACGGCCGACGTGCCGCTCGCCAAGGTCGCCAACCTGCTCTCGGACCTCAACGTGCTCTCGTCCGAGTCGGATTCCGACGGCGACGTGGAACCGCATGTGTCGCAGCCTGACACGCCGTCGCGGCCGCGGCGGGCCAACGAGCCGCTCCCCGAGGAGCCGGCTGTCCTGGACCCTGAGACCAAGCACCAGCTCGCCGACAAGCTCGCCGACGTCGAGGCATCGATCGCCAAGCAACTCAAGGTCATCGATGGGGTCTCGATGGTCCGCAGCTCGTTCCCCAAGGGCACAGAGTCGCGGAGCCGCGCCGACGAGCAGTACACGTCGCTGGTATGGGATCTTGAGGCTCTCGAGACACAGCGAAACATCCTTGAGACACAGCTCAAGCTTCCGGTCACGCCCAAGATCATTCTCGGCAAGCGCAAGAAGAAGCGGCGGGCGCGCTCGGACACCATTCTGCGCAAGATCTCGCGTCGGCCGGCAACCGCCGAGGGCCCCAAGTTTGCTCTGCTTGACGAGCTGGACTCGGACGCGCTCACCGAGCGGCTGCGCAAGGTCACCAAGTCGCTCAAGTCCAAGCGCGAGGAAAAGGCCGCGCTCCACACGTTCCTCAAGCCGGACTCGCCGTTCAAGTACGAGTCCGGCTCGGCGCCGCATACCAACCTCGTCCAGCAGATCGCTGAGGCTGACGACGAGATTGCGGCGCTCAGTGAGCTCCACGCCGAGATTGTCTCACGCCTCGGCCTCACCGAGGCCGACGTGGACGAACTCGAGCTCAAGCACGAGCTTGACGACATCCGGTCTGCCATCGACAAGCAGCTTGCGACTCGCGAGTCGCTCGCCGCACAAGCCTCCGCTTCAGCAGCGTCCGACTCGCGGGCTGCCGTCTCGCTCCAACTCCAAAGCTCGGCGTGCGAGGACGAGCTGAGCAAGCTCTTGCACGCGAGGACGAGCTCTGCTCGTCCCTCGGCCTGGCCAACGAGCGTGCGCCGCGCTATGATCCGAGCGCATACACCGACGTCCTCGTTGCTGTCTACGAGTACAAGGCGCGCAACTCGTCTGAGCTCTCGTTTTCAGACGGCGACCGCCTTGGACTACTTGAGGACTACAACGACGGCTGGTCGATGTGTGTTAAGCTCGAGACGAACGAGACCGGGCTGGTCCCGTCTGCCTATGCCGAGCCCGAGAACGAGTGAGCCAACTTTGTGACGAATTGAACTAAAAACTTGTTTTCACTGCGATGTCTACCAGTGCGGCTTGGGCTTGGGCTTGGGCTTGGGCATGGGCTTGGGCGCGGTCCGCGGCGCTGCGCCGCCAAACGAGGGCTTGGGCCTGGGCGGGGGCGGTGTGCGGGCAAGCGCGGGATGCGCCGCAGGCTTCTCGTACGGCTCGACGTAGTTGTACGGGAAGACGCCACGGGCGCCGGACGACTTGGAGCCAAGCGCCCAGCCGTCGTCGTGGATGACGTGGACCGAGATGACGTCGCCTTTGGAGAACGACATCTCGTCGACGTTGGAACCGGAAAAGGCGTACTTGGCCTGGACCGTCTCAACAACCTGACCGGCGTCGGGCGCAGACGGCATGACGGATCCGAACGACGGCGGGCCGAACGATGACGGCACGCCGGCGTACTCGCTCTGCAGCGAGACGAACGACTTGGGCTCGGCCGAAGTGTAGTTGCTGGCAAAGGCGGCCATGTCAAAGTCAGACGACGACGAGCGCTTCTTGGCCACGAGAACGGCAATGATAATGACGACGACAATCAATACTCCGCCACCGGCTGCGCCGTAGATCCACACCGGGGTGCCGGATGAGGCCTGTGGCGCGCCACTGCCCGCGCCGGTCACCTGGGTGTTGTCGGCGTCACCTTCGGCCATCGCCACGCTCACCGATGTCTCCTTGTCGGCGCGAATGGTGACGTAGTACCGAGTTCGCGACGTGGCGTCGGTGATGACGACAGACGCGCGCGCACCGGGCGTGCTAGATGCCGCCAGCCGCTCCGACGACGATGGCGAGTAGCCGACAACCAGCGTGAGCGTTGCGGATGCTGACGCGGGTGTCGCCGAAATGGACAAAGTCTGCCCCTGCGCCGCCGCCTGCAGAAGCGCCCGCGCCCTGCCGGCATCGTCACGCGACGACGCTGGCACGCGGATTTCCACAAACACGGGCGAGTCGAGCGACGCCAAGGCATCGACGTTCACGCCACCAGCCTCCCACGTCAGGATCTCCACCGACTTGGCCACACACTGTGTCCTGTCCGGTATAGGCACCTTGCCAAAGCCGCATGAGGACACGGGCGCCGGGGTCGGGGTCGGGGTCGGGGTCGGGGTCGGGGTCGGGGTCGGGGCGGGGGTTGGGGCGGGGGTGGGCGGTGATGGAGGCGATCCAGGAGCTGGAGTTGGAGCCGGGGTGGGAGCCGGGGTGGGAGCCGGGGTGGGAGCTGGAGTCGGAGCTGGAGTTGGAGCTGGAGTTGGAGCCGGAGTCGGAGCCGGAGTCGGAGCCGGAGTCGGAGCCGGAGTCGGAGCCGGAGTCGGAGCCGGAGTCGGAGCCGGAGTCGGAGCCGGAGTCGGAGCCGGAGTCGGAGCCGGAGTCGGAGCCGGAGTCGGAGCCGGAGTGGGCCCGGTGCACTCGTTCGACAGGACGTAGATCGACTTGGAAGAGCCCGAGAGCGGATCCGAGGTAGAGGAGATAAATCGAATGTCGTCAAAGTAGAACGAGTGCGAGGCCGCGCCGCCGAGCTCGTTGACGCAGATCTTGACGCCGGCAATCTGCTGGCCGCCAGCGGTGCCGAGCTCGGCGAGCGGGATGCGAACTCGCGAGTAGCCGGCAGCGTCGACGACATACTTGTCGACGTGGTCGGCGCGGACGTCAACAGTGTTGATGTCCGAGCCGGAAGCGTCGACAATACGGACCTTAAGGGTCGAGGGCGTCGGATTCGAGTCTGCGCGCTTGGCGTAGAACTGGAAGTTGGTCACACTGCCTGGCAGGGAAAGGACCGAAGGGTAGCGGGCCTGAAGGCACGACCACTCCGAGTAGCGCTGGTAGAGGACCGACGAGCCGCAAAAGACATCGCCGCCGCCGGTCGAGGCAAAGTCCTTCTCGGCGTTGTAGTCGCCCCACGACCAATCGGAGAAGCCCGACTCGAGCGCACCGTTGGCATAGACCAGGAGTGAGGTGCCTCCGGGCGCGCATGGGTCGGCCGGTGATGGAATGGCCTCGGGCGGAGAGCAGCTGGCGTCCTTGCAGCCGACACGGCCCGAGATCTCGCCGCCGGGCGAGGCAGAGGTGTGGATGTTGACGTACCACTCACCAGCCCAGAGCTGCTCGTGCTCGGCCCAGGAGAGGGTGCGGCCACCGCGGACGGGTGCGAAGACGGTGTTGAAGCCAAAGGCGATGCCGCCGGTGGTGCGATGCATGTGCATGGCGGTCGGAGCGTCGTTGAGCGTGGACACAATGTTCCACGCCAGCCAGCGGGTGTTCGGGTTGTACTGCAGCATGGCCTTGCCGGTGGCGGACGAGCCCGTCCCGGCCTGGCAGCCCTGCAGGACGGCCTCGTAGGCATCGGTCGGATCGGCAAGCGCCGACGGAATCGAAACCGTGCCGGCGTTGCAGTTGGCGCCGCACCCGGCGACGACGTTGAGTCGACCGGTAAAGTCCTCGGGCGTGGTAAAGCCAAAGGTGTCGATGTCGTCGAGATCGGTCTGGACGACATAGAGGTAGAGCCACTTGCCGGCGGCATCGTAGTACCAGGGGTTGTCGTACGAGAGAGTGTCCCGCGACGAGGCGGCCGGTTTGGGAGCGTTGTCCCACGAGTTGGTGACGGTAAAGGTGGTCGACGGGTACGGCAGCGCGATGACCATCCACTCGTTGAGGTACGAGTGGTGGAGGATGGCCTCCCACTCGGGCGGAGTGGGGTGCGGAAAAGTGAGCGCGTAGGCGGCGTACGGGGCGGCGTTGAACTTGCACTGGTCCCGAACCGGATCGTTCGAGTCCTCGCAGGTGGTAGTCGAAGAGGCACCCGAGCCGAGGGCGTGCCAGGTGGCGCGGACAAAGTCGTCGTTGGTCACGGAGGTGCCAAAGTTGGAGCCGCCGGTGTTCCGGTTCCGCATGCGGAGGGTGGTGAAGCCGGCAAAGAACGGCGGGCAGACAAACTGCGACTGATCATCGCCCCACTCGGGATGCTCGACGCAGCCCGAGGGCGCGTTGGCGAGGAGAACCGGGTCGCCCGAGACGACCCAACCGCCAACGACGCCGGTCAACGAGCCGTCGACATCCTGGAACGCTGAGCGCTTGGGGTTCTCCTTGATGTCAGGCCCGCAAAAGCGAATAAAGACGGCGTTGGCGTTGTTGAGTGTCACGCCCTCGATCTTGTTGGCGGCGGCGTGGAGGTTGCGCGCGCAGTCGAGCTGACCGATGGCGCCGGCCTTGAGGTACAAAGTCGAGACGTAGTCGGTAAATGTAGCCGAGCGCAAGTACTGGGGACCATCGTTGTCGTAGGCCTCAAAGCCGACGGTGCGGCAGCCGTCGCACCATGGCTGCGGCAGAGTGCGGCCGGCGGCGTTCTCGCGCGAGTTGCGCGGAGTGCCGACGTTGGCTGTGGCGCCGATGGCAGTCAGGCCTTCGACGAGGTTGTAGCCGCCAACGAGGTTGACGCCCGCGCGGTTGTCGACGACGATCGAGTTGAGGACGTGGTGCTTGTTACCGCGGGTCCAAATACCGGTCCGGGTGTTCTTGAAGGCCACGGTGTTGGTGATCTGCGAGATGACGACGTCCTTGACCGAGTACCAGCTGGAGTCGTACGGGCCGTTGCGCGGCTTGTACGAGAAGAGCTCCGAGGTGCCGTCGGGGCGCGGGCCCTCGTCGAGCATAAGGCCGGTCTCGCACGAGTGGACGACGTTGCCGTCGCAGAGACCCATGGGAGTCTGGCGCGGGTAGACCTGCGATGAGGCGTAGGCGGCCTCGGAGAGGCCGGTCGGGCGCTCGGGCAGCGAGTACCAGATGCCCATGGTGCAGGCTGCTGCGTGGTTGTTGGTCACCACGTTGTTCGGGTTCGGCAGCCAGAAGCCCGACGGCTCGGAATCGGTGGGGATGAGCGAGCCGGGGCGAGCGAGGACCGCAAGGTTGTGGTTGAACACGTTGTCGGTCTCGGGCCCATCCTCGAGGAAGAAGCAGTGACCGATAGTGTCGTAGCCGACGTTGTTGTCGACGATGAGGCCTTGGGTGTCATGACCGACGACGCAGCGCTGGTAGCAAGAGTGAATGGCCGAGTCGCGGACGTACATGTCTTGGCCGACAACGTTGTGGGTTTGGTGGTAGTGGACCGGATAGCGGCCGAGGACGCCCTTTTGGCCCATCCGGGTAAACTCGATAGCGGTGAAGCGGACAGTGGCCTCGCGGTGGATGATGTGCCCGCCAAACTCGGAGGCGACCGACGCGGCATCGCCCTGGACCTTGACGTTGCGGGTGAGGAGGCCGACTTCGGCGACTTCGTGGCCGGCACCGTAGTGCATAAAGGCGAGCGACTCGGCAACGTTGATCGTCCGCCCGCCGTTGGTCACCGAGACCACGGTGAGGACCTCGTTCTGGTCGCGGTAAAAGTCGGTGGTGGCCACAAAGATCTTGTCGCCGGCCTGCCAGTTGACGGCGTCCACCACCGGGAGCGCCGTCGCGCCGGGGTTGACCGTCGCCGAGAGCATGGTCCAAGTGTGCGACGGCGAGACGCCGTGCAGCTCGAACCGCCCACCCGAGTGGGTGGCAATGCCCTTGGCACCAAAGCCACCACCGATGAGATCGGCTGTCGTGTAGCTGCCGGTGAGCGTGATGGTGACATCAGCAGTGAGCCGGCAGTCGGGCGCGCCGCCGAGCAGCGTGCCTCCGGACTCGATCGAGATGTGCCCGACCGTCAGGGTGAGCACCGAGTTGTCGATGACAAGCGTCGCGCCTGATGGGACTGTGATCGAGTTGAGCGTGACCGAGGTGTCGAGCAGAAGCGTGCCCGACGGAATGGTCACGTCCTGTCCGCCTGGCGGCGGTGTCGACGACCAGCGGTTAGCCACACCCGCATGCGGGCACGCGGCACGCGCCGTCCCGACCAGCGCCAGCAACGCGACAAGCGCAAGGGCTGGAGCAAGCACAGCATGAGCCCACATTCTCGTCGCTACAGGAGTCGGTGTAAGATGTGAGACAAGGATGAGTAGGAGTGGTGCTGGCAGTGCTGGCAGTGCTGGCGGCGGCGGTAGTGCTGGTGCTTGTGCTGGCTATCATAGAAGGTGGTAAGGGGCGTACCTTTTTTCGGGGAGGGGAAGCGAGAGAAGAATGTGGGAAACGAGCGGCAAAAAAAACCAATGCGGATGCGTGCGCGCCCATCGGGGCGCCAGAGCTTCCTCGAGTTGTGTCGAGCACAAGCCGCCTGCGTGGACACACCTGGATACAACTACCTCGGCGGGCGCCGCAGTACCATCATCGCATGTGCGTCCGTCGAGTCCAAGACGCTCGACCTCGAGTGCGCTTGTTTAAGGGGTTCTGGGTGCCGCATACTCGGACAGACCGCGGAAACACGCTGGTGGCTAGAGCTTGGACTTGAGATACGAGCCCGAGGAGCCGATGGCGTAGGGCGCCTCTGCAGCAGTGGCAAGCTTGACGGCGCGGACGACGTCGGCGACGACGGCGGTGGGGAGGTGCTGCGAGATGGGGAGGTAGACCATGTCGGAGAGGATGGCGGTGGCGTTGACCGGCTGCAGGAGGCGGGCGCGGTCGGGGCTGGCCGAGGCGATGGCGGGCGGGACTGGGACCGGGTCCATTTGCGATGCGCCCTTGGTGGCGTCGATGCCAATGGCGCGGAGGGCGGCGATGACCTTGGGTGGGTCGTGGGCCATGATGGGGAAGAGCCAGTACGAGTGGACGCGAGTGGCGGCGCCGGGAACGACGACAGTGTCGGGCAGAGCGGCGCGGACCCACTCGCAGACGGCCATGCGGGCTGCAAGCGCATCGTCGGCGAGCGAAGGGGCGCGGAGGCGATGGAGGAGCAGGGCGAGCAGCGGCGCCGAGGCCCGGTGGTGGATCTGGTCGAAAAAGGCATCGCCAGGAAAGCCGCGGATCATGCCAGTGATGAGCTCGTCGAGCGACGTGCCGAGCGAGTCCGCGACCGAGGCCACCAGCGAGAGGACCGCCGGGTGCGAGACACCGTAGCGAAGAGCAAAGTACTTGGCGAGCTTGCTCACAAAGACGCTCCGCGAACGGATGGGGAGCGCGTTGCGCTCGGCACGCATTCGGGCTGGCACCTGGCCAAGCTCGGCCACCCGCTCCGCGTCCTGCGCAAACGAGACCATGGCACCGCCAAACGCGGTCGCCCGCTTGATCGAGCCAAAGGAGAAGAGCGAGACGTGGGCGTGTGGCGAACCAGCATAGCGCGCGATGCCGGTGAACGCCTGCGCTGCGTCCTCGACGAGCAGCACGTCGTGCTTCCGCGCCACTTTGACATACGGCTCGAGCGAGTACCGCGAGCCAAAGACGTATGCCATGATGAATACCGTCGGCTTGGCGAGAGCAGCGGGCGGGCGGGAGGCGAGCGCAGCGTCGAGCAGATCGACCCGCGGCGCAAGAGTGTCGACATCGACGTCGATCGGGACCGGAACGAGGTCGTAGTGCTCGACAACCCGCACAACGTCGTGGATGGTGGCTGCCGAGAGATAGACCTCGGAGCCGGGCGGGAGCGCGAGGGCGCGGAGCAGCAGCGAGAGGCTCGTCCGGACCGAGAGGGCGACCATGGTCGACGGCGGCTCCGCAGCAGCCGTCTCATCAGCAAGTACCTCCTTCCGCGGCCAGGCGGCTTCGACCTCGGCCGCCGTCGTCTCGTAGCTCAGACACGGGTTCGCCGCCGCCTTGGCGCCCACCACAAAGTCGCTCAGCGCGATGTGGAGGACCTTGCGGACGTACAGTGGCGCGTTGAGCGTCCACGGCTCCGGCACGTCGCCGGGCGGCTCGGGCGCATCAGCCCCGTCCAGTGCGCGTCCCGGGAGGTTGTGAGACATGTGCGTGGGAGAGAGTAGCAGGGAGGGATGGAGGCTCGAGCTCGAGGTGAAGTGGGTGAGGTAGGATGAGTTTGTGGTACCTGGTCCGGCAGCTGGCAACGTCGCCACGTGGCTGGCGACATGCACCGGAAGCTGTTCGCTTTTTGTACCCTTTTTGCATTCCACCCGCGTTCGTTTTGTTCAAACCCCCCCGCCCGCCCTGCCCGCCCCCTCAGCCGGCCGGCCGGCCAGGCCAGCCTTTCCGTTGGTTGCAACATGCTGGCAGCAATGGAAAAAAGTAGGTTGGTACAGAAAAAAAGGGAGCCAACGAAGAAAACCGAATGACCATCATGCCTTCGCCACACACACCCCCCAACTTCACACCTGCACACAGACACACAAGCACGCTCACAAACACGCACACAGACACGCAACCACACCTCGCAAGTATGATTGTTCCTGCTGGACTGTATTACACTGACCCGTCGACCAACAGACGGACGGCACTTCCGCTGACGGCGGCTTCGGTGGCGGCTACCATTGCCGACGGCTGCGCTCGTGTCGCCCTCACCCAGTCGTTTACCAACGTGACCGAGGCGACGCTCAGCACAAAGTACATGCTGCCGATGGACGAGGGCGCGGCGGTGATCAGCTTTGAGGCCAACTGCAACGGGCGGATCATCAAGGCCCGCGTTGAGGAGTCTGGCGCCGCCAAGGCCGAGTACGACTCGGCGGTGGCCCGCGGCGACGGCGCGTACCTCCTCGACTCGGTCTCGTCCGAGCACTTTGTCATCGCCATCGGCAACGTCCAGCCGGGCGCCGAGGTGGCGATCACCACCACGTACGTGGCCAACCTGCGGACTCGCGGTGACGTCTATTCGTTTGTTGTCCCTAACCGGCTCGCGCCCAAGTACGGCGCCTCGCTCGCGCCTCAAGCCAAGCACCTCGACGCCGCCATCCCGCTTGATCTTGTCGTCCAGTGGACGATGAGCCCCGGACTCGCCGAGATGGACTCGCCCTCACACCCGGACGTTGTCGACTCGGTCGTAGTCTCGGACGACGGAACCGGTGCGTCGCTCACCGTCCGCCTCGCCACGCTCGACGTCGACTTTGTTCTCAACGCCGTCGCCGTCACCCCGCCCGGCCCGGTCCTCCTTGTTGAGAACCGAAGCCTGCCTTCGGGAGTGACGACCCAGGCCGCCATGGTCTCTTTCACGCCTCAACTTGAGGCACCGGACGAGCGCGCTGAGCTCGTCTTTGTCATCGACCGCTCCGGTTCGATGGGCGGCTCCAAGATCGAGCACGCCCGCAAGGCCCTCCAGCTCTTCCTCCGCTCGCTCCCGGAGGACTGCTACTTCAACATTGTCGGCTTTGGCTCGCGGACCGACTTCTGCTTCCCGCGCGGGAGGGCTGTCCCCTACAACGACGAGACGCTCGAGGTCGCCACCGCACACATTGCGGGCATGGGCGCCGACCTCGGCGGGACTGAGCTCCTCTCGCCGCTCCGCACCATCTTTGCTACGCCGGCCATGAAGGGTTTCAACCGCCAGGTCTTTGTCCTCACCGATGGCCAGGTCTCCAACACCAACGAGGTCATCCGAGCCATCGCCACCGCACTCGACGCCGCGTCGGCGCCGACCCGTGTCTTCACTCTCGGCCTTGGCAACGGCGCGTCGCGCGCGCTCGTCAACGGCATGGCTCGCGCCGGCAACGGCACCGCCTACTTTATCGACGACGACGCGTCGTCCGTCCTCACTGCCACCGTCGTCCGTCAACTCAAGCAGGCGCTCCAGCCGCAGCTCGCGGGCCTCACGCTCGAGTGGACCTCAACCGACGGCACCGTCGCGAAGACCAACGTCGCTGCCGACGGCGCCTCGTCGTCGGCCTCGTCGGGCGGTCTCGCCGGCATCGCCTCATCTGCCGTCGCCACTGCCACCTCGACCGTCCGCAAGGTCCTGCGCGTCGCGTCGCGGTCCAAAGCGCCAGCGCCAGCTGCCGCGTCGTCGGAGTCCAACTCGGTCCCGCCCTCGGCCGTCGTCCAGGCTCCGTACCGGGCGCCGCCTATCTTTAACGGCGATCGCTTTGTCGCTTTTGCCTTTTTCAAGCCCTCCTTTGGCTCGCTCGCCCGGCTTCGCCTCTACGACGCGTCTGGCAAGGTCGACTTTGCCGTCGCCCTCGAGACGCTCCCTACCATCGAAGGCGAGACTGTCCACGCCCTTGCCGCGCGCGCCCTCATCCGCGACCTCGAGGAGGGCTCATCGTACATGCACGCCACCGGCGCCAACACCGCCGCTATCGACGCCGAAATTGTCCGCCTCGGCACCGCCTTTAGCCTCGCCTCGACCAAGACCTCGTTTGTCGCGGTTGAGATCCGCTCCGACGTCGAGCGCGAGGAGGTGATTGGCCACGCCGGGAGCCACGTCCCGCCGCCACCACCGCCGGCGGCGCGCATCCCCTCATCCATGCGGTTCAAGTCGGCCAAGCGCAAGAAGGGGCGCGCTGGTGGTGCAATGCGCCGCTCCCGCATGGCGGCTCCGGCCCCGGCCCGCCGCGGCCCGGCCCCGCCGCCGGCTCAACGCTCGCTCGCACGCTCGGCAGGAGCGCCGCCGATGGCTGAAAAAGCGTTCGCGGCCTCGGCCATGAGCGCGCCAGTCGCTCGCGCCGAAAACGAGCTCTTCTTTGACGCCGATGTCATCGACGATTGTGAGGTGAAGGCGGACTTTGCCTCGGATTTGTCCGAAGACGAAGACGACGAGCTTTGCGCCCACTCATCGAGCTCTGCCTCCGGTAGCATTGCGGCGTCTGCGCCTGTGGTCAACTACGAGGCACTCGCCCTCGACCTGGCTATGCTCCAGTCGACCAAGGGCATGTTCAAGGCGACGGCGCTGGCGCATCTCCCGGCCGGCAAGACGGCCAAGCCCGACACGGTCACCGCATCCGACGACGTGTGGACAACCGCCCTTGTTCTCGCCTTCTTTGCCACCCCGCCGTTCCGCGCCTACGACGACCAGATCGAGCTCGTTGTCGCCAAGGCCCGCAAGTGGCTCACCGCCGAGCTTGCCGACACCACTGCTGTCGACGCCATCATTGCCGCCGCCACCACTGTCCTTGCCGCGTGATGACACCAATCCCCCCCCCTCCTCAAATCAACTTCCATACACCCGCACTTGCTTTCGCCATCGGCCTTGCTCCAGTCAGCACAACTGCAGCGCATCAATCCGACGAGTAGCCGGTCGAAGGCGGTCGACGACGGTCGAAGGTGCGGCACGCGGCCGACTCACTCGACTCGAGACAGGCGGGCGACGCGCGGCCATAGTGACAACGACATGATCCAGTCCCCCAACATGGGGCGGACGGCCAAGGCCATGCGACTGCGGTTCCCGTGCCACACCCACATGAACGAGTCTGAGTGGTGGGCCTGGCACTCACCAGCGGTGCTGACGGCGGCGGCGACGGTGTCGCCCGACGAGATCGCCTTTCGGGCCGAGGAGGCCATCGGTGCCACGCCGCCGCTGACGCCCGATGCGGGCATCGCCGACATCAATGCCCTGCCGCAAACGTGTCTGGAGCAGGCGCGAGTGTATGTCCGCTGCGAGGAGACGCAGGCGTTCGACAGCGAGGCCGTGAGCTATGCAGAGATGATCGCCGACACTGTGCAGTCGGTCGGCGGCTCGGGCATCGATCGCAGCCTCACCTTTTCGCTCGCTGACAATCTGGCTGATCACATGCCGCTGACGCTCACCGACGCGCGGCTGGCGATCCCGCTCTCGGCTGCCGACATCGAGGACGTGCTGCTCCCAATGTGCGACGCCTCGGTGGTGGCCGACTTTAGCGGTGCCGGGCCATCAACGGTCGACAGGTCGGTGCGGTCGTCGCGGACGCTGCCGGCGGCGCAGTGGGCGACGGCACCTGCGCTCAGCGGCTTTGACTTTCCCGCTCTCCGCGAGCTTGTCCGCAGCCAGATCGTCAGCCTCTCGCCGGCCATCCGGATTGAGCCTTACAAGCTGCTGGTGTACTCACCAGGTGACTTTTTCGCGCCGCACGTCGACAGCCAGTACTCGCTGGATGTGGTAGCCACAATCTCAGTGGCGGTCCCTGTCAAGGGCGAGCGGATCGGCGGCGGGGTGATTGTCTTTGGGGACAGCGATCCGAAGGTGTTGTGGCCGTCGATGGTGGCGAATCCGAGCCGCTTCGCAACGGCGGCAAGCTGCTCGCGATACGGCGGAGGCCTCCATTTGTGCGACGAACCGTGGGACGCGATGGCGTGGCCGTCAAACGAGCTGCACGCGGTCCTGCCGGTGGTGAGTGGGTACATGGTCAAGCTGACGTATCTGGTCAAGCGCGATGCGACCATGCTCTCGCCTCCGTCCATGGCGGAGCATGCGCTTGCCTTTCGGACCGGGATGGACGGGCTAGTGCGAATGATGCGGTCTCCGTCGGGGTATGCTAGCGCGATGCAAGCGGCTGTGTCTAAGCTCGACCGCGCGCTGGTCCACAAGTACGTGGCTGAGACGGCTGAAGCGTGGAACAACGCGTTTGTGGGAGATGCCTATTCGGTCTCCGACTTTGAAGTAGACGACATTGTCAACATGGGCTTCACTCAGGCGCACGGTGCGCTGATCTCTCGGGCGCCGCCGATTCTGTCTGCTGATGTCGGGCCGCGGCCAAGGCCGCGGGCGATTCTCTTTCTCCTGCAGAACATGTACTCGGCCGCGGCTCTCAAAGTCCGGCCGATGCCGCATCTGCGCGGCCGAGACGCAGTTCTCTGGGCCGAACTTGTGGGGCTCGGTCACACGCCGCGGCCGGTGGTGGTGGGCCAACTCGAGATGATGGACTGCTACCGGCACGAGAACGAGTGGTCCTCGGCCAAGTTTCAGCATCCGGATCTGTTTGTCGGCTCGGTAGCATCATGTGTGAAGCGCGATGTGTTCACGTCGGGCGCGGTACTCGACGCGGTGGTGACGCCCGAGGTGGTGGTCATCGATCTGGCGCCGGTGGCGGAGAGAATCACAAGCGTGATGGAGCCCTCACAGGGGCACTCGGGCCGCTTCGAGCACAAGACATGCTACGGCAACGGCGACTGCGCCAACGAGCTCTACTACCGCTACGCCGGCCTCGCGGTGAGCGTAGACGACTGGGCGGCGCGGCGGATGGTGATGCTGGTGTCGTATGTGGCTGATAGTGGCGCCGATGTGGCCGACGATCCCGGGTGGCACATAGTTGCACCTCAGCCGCCTCGGTTCAACCTGCTGTACCGGCTGCGGACCGATTGCTTTGACGTTTTCTACGACATTGTACGGAGCCTGTGATGGCAAGCGCGTGCCAGCGTGTGCGAGAAGCGATACAATTTAACGGGTCCACACGTACACGTCAGGGATCAGCATCGTCAGCATCATGAAGGGAGGGGGTCTGACCGGGTGGTGAGGCGTCGATGGCCAGCACCGCGCGGGCTTGTCGGCCGGCGAGCTGGAAGAGAAGCAGATCAGAGTGTCAATCTACTCATCGTCGTCATCGTCGTCATCGTCCGAGTCCGAGTCCGAGTCATCGTCCTCGGCCCAAGAGGCCTCAACGGTCTCGCGGACCTTCCGGTTGTACTCGCGGCGGTTCTCGTTGAACAGCTGAGCTGCCTCTGCATTCGCCGGCGACGACGGGTTGGGATCGGAAAGAAGCGACTGGATGGAGGTGAGGATGGCGGCGACGTCGTAGATGGGCGACCAGGCGTTGCCGAGGATGTCGAGGCAGATGGAGCCGTCCGAGTACACGTTGGGGTGGTAGATCTTGGTGACAAAGACGACCTTGGGCGCCTCATTGGGGTAGTTCTCCGAGAACGTCATCGACAGCCGGAACGTTCCGCCCTCCCACGGCGTCTCTTCCGGTCCAAAGATAACCGCGTCCCAGGTCATGATGTTGTCATCGTGCGGCGCGCCCGAAATGCCCTCGGGCGGGTCCTGCTGCAGCCGCTTGAAGTCACGCATGAGGCGCCGCCGCGCCGACGTCGACTGTCCCGTCCCCCCCCCCCCCCCCCCCAAACACACAACCATACACACACACAAGCTCATTCACCGTAAGTATGCCTGTGCTACCACTGCCCTGCCCCACTGCTCGCCTGCCCCTGTCTGCCCCGCCTGCTCCGCCTCCCTCAAGCGACCTTCGCAAGTGTTCTTCTGGAAGGTTGGCGACAGAAAAACAGAGGCATTGCGAGGGGGCAGGGGGGGGGGGGGGGGGGTAGGGGGGGTGGCGAGGGAGCCAATGTGGCGATCGATCGGGATGGGGGGAATGGGGATGGTGAAGGATAAGGGGATAGAGGATCAGGCAAGAAGGGGGAGGGGGAGGGAGGATGTTTGTCATCGTGGTCGTGGTGGTCAACGTGGTCGTGGCCGTGACAGTGACCGTGATCACGATCAATCGGGTCGTGGGGGAGGGGGGGGGGGGGGGGGGACTACGGGGGAGACAGACACCATCGATCATGAAGGCTAAGGATTGTAGGGAAGGGTGTCGGTGGGAGTATTGCCCCCCGTTGCGGGTCCGATCCTGCGCAGCGTCCTACCGGGCCGAGGCATCGGCTTGCGAGCAGAGCTGAAGTAACTGCGACTTGGCACCGGCTGGCGGCAGGGGCCCCGAGCCCCAGCCAAGGGCAAGGCGACCGGCCAGCCACCACACTCCAGTCGATACATACATGGCGGAACGGAGCAGTGCGCGTGCACGGTCGCGGTCGCGGTCGCGGGAACGAGACGAGGGGCCGAGCGGAGGCACGGGCGCAGCGGCGAGCACAGCAGCGGGCGAGGCCGACTACCTGCGGGTGCTGCAAGAGTACAAGAAGCAGCGCAAGGCAGGGAACAAGGAGAGTGCGGATGCGGCAGGGAGTGGTGGCGGGCGGGATCGGGCGGTGCGGAGCGGGCAGACGGGCGCGAATGGTGACGCAGGCGCAGGCGCAGGAAGCGGATCGGGCGCGGATGCGGGTGCAGCCGGCACATTGGGCGCGAAGGGCGCGGCGGAAAAGAGCTCGTCCGCGGCAGCAGCTGGCGCTGATGATGCCGCTGCTGCGCAGGAGAGACTGATGGCGATGATGGGTCTCCCGGTTGGCTTTGGATCGACCCGCGGCAAGCAGGTTGCCGGCAACATCGGTACCGTTGTCCGTAAGCAGAAGCGCCGCAAGATCACCCAAGTCGTCAACCGCGACGACCGCAGGCCCGAGTACCTCGCCGCCAAAAAGGCCGCCAAGGAGGCAGCCCGCAATGCCGCCATCGCCCAGGCCCACGCCGGCCCCTACGCCGGCCCGCGCCCGCGATCATGACCCCCTCCCCCCGCCCCCTTCCCGCTCACGGCCGAGAATAAGCAGCAGATGGAGCTAAAGATAGAGGTGAGACAAAAACGGCAAGGTCGTCGAGGGTGATAAGCAGCCTGTACACGCTCATCCCTCTCATCAACAAGGTGAAGCCATCAAGAGGTGGGAGCAGGGAGGCGGCGAGTGGTGTCAGTTGGCGCAGTCGGTCACCTCGCCCCGCCAGCCAGCCAAGCCCGCGACTGAGACGACCGGCACCGCCAGACACAGCCCACGTCATCACACCTCTCTCACACACACCAACCCTCATGGCGGTGCATGTGTACGGGTGGGGCCGTGGCGGAGCCGGGTGGGGCCGTGGGCATGGGAGCGGGCCTGGCGGGGAGGGCAGGGCCGACGCGCTGTACCCGCGGCGGCAGAAGAGGCTGGAGGTGGACGCGGCTATCCTGGAGGTGGGCCTGGGCGACGAGTATGTGGCTGTGCTCACGGCTGATGGCGAGGTGTACACCATGGGCGAGGGGAGGGACGGCCAGCTGGGCCACGGCGCAGACCGCACGGTGCTGGACGAGTTTGTTCGCGTCGACGCCCTCGCGGGCTTCTACGCCAACCGCCCGCCCATCGTCATCGTCCACCTCGCTGTCGGCCGCCGCCACGTCTTGGCAGTGGCCCGCGACGGCGCGCTCTACTCGTGGGGCTGCGGAAGCAGGGCCCAGCTTGGCCACGGCGCCTTGCGCAACGAGTACGAGCCGCGGCAGATCGGGAAGCTCGCGGCCACAACCATTGTCCGCGCCTGGGTCCAAGATGAGGCCTCGTACGCGCTCGACGCATGCGGCGGACTCTATGCCTGGGGCTACGCGCCGGACGGCCGTTTGGGTGTCCACGCCGCGCCGGGCAACGGTGGTGATCTTCCACCGCAGGCCCAGCTCGTCCTTGTCCCGGCCTTTGTTCCGGCCACAATGGCGATGCCGCTGGTGGCGCTCGACGTCGGCGACGACCACGCGGCTGGCATTGCAGCCGACGGCACGCTGCTTGTTTGGGGAGCAACGCATGCGGCCAGCTCGGGACCGGAAACCGCGAGCGGTGTTTCACGCCGACGGCCATTGCCTTTCCGCCGACGGCGCCGCCAACGACCCGCCGCGCGCCGGAGATGCCGGCCATCTCGATCACCATGGTGGTGGAAGAGAGCGACGACCCGGTTGGATCGGCAGCCGACTCGTCGGTGGTGGTCGACGCGGACGATGCACCGACTGCCGCAGCACCTCCACCGTCGGCCGACGAGGCGGACAGCGGAAGCGCGCGCGACAAAGACGCGGACGCGGACCAACTCGCCCGCCCAGTCGATGTTGCAGCCGGCTCGAGCTTTACTCTCGTCCTCGACTCAGGCGGGCGTGTGTACAGCACTGGGCTCAATTCGCACGGACAGCTCGGACTCGGCAAGCCGCACGCCAAAGACGCCAGCATCGCCGGCCTGGCCCACATCCCAAAGCTTGTGGGTGTGGCCTCTATCCACGCTGCAGGGCTTTCTGCCGCGGCGATTCTCGACGACGGCGTGCTAGTCACCTGGGGCTACGGGCGCGACGGGCGGCTCGGGGTGGGCCTCCGGGCATCGCTGGCGCTCCCAACGCAGGTGGCTGCGCTTGCGGGCAAGCACGTGGTTCACGTCAACATGGGCGGCGGGCGGATGGCGGCGCTGGTCCTCGCCGAAGACACGACCGAGGTGACGGATCCGGTGACTGCGTGCCGGACAACGCTCACATTCTGACGAAAGAGTAAAGAGACCAAACTACGCGTGTGTGATGTGTGATGTGTGTACGGATGATGCGAGGGGTGCAGAGGGCAACGGCCGAATGATTCGCCAGCAGTGGCGCCAGCAGTGGCGCTGGGAGGGCGAGCAAGGCGACGAGTTAGAGCTCGACGCGGCGGATGAGCAGGTAGATGTTGTTGTCGACGGTGAGGCCCTCCATGTGGCGCTGGTCGCCCTTGAGCTCCATGAGCAGACCACCAAAAGAAGCGTAGACCTTGACCGAGGTAGCACGCGACTCGGTCTTGTACGAGTAGACCAGGCCGTGCATGGCGTACTCGTAGTGGTCGAGCAGCGAGCCCTGGCCCTGGTTCTCGGCCCAATCGCCGGTCTCGGGCTGGCCGTCCATGCGGAGCGAGGGAGCGAGCGCCATGCGGAACTTGTCGCCCTCCTCCAGCGGGAACAGCTCGGTGTTGACATCCAGCAGCATATCCATCTCGTACTCCTCAGACGTGCACTGGATCCGGGACACTGTGCGGCGTAACGTCGTGAGTCGCCGTACAACCACATTGGGCCAACTCTTCCCACTCGCTCTCTCTCTCTCCCCACACACACACTCTCTCTCATGACAAAGCCGAATGCTATGGTCCGTATCGTCATGCGATGGCATGCTCTCCCCGCCCGTGTTGCTGTCCCATGGCATGCTCTCCACCCCCCCCCCCACCCCACACACACACCCATGTCGCCGTCCCATCCCACCGCCAACCCCCACCACACACACACACACACACACACACACACACACACACACACACACACACACACACATACACACACACACACAACAGGTACATACCCTTCTCGAACTTCTTCCCCTCAGGATTAACGCTCTTCACGTCAAACAGGTCCTCGAACACAGTCGCCATGGTTGCCGGACAGAGGGAGAGGTGGTGGTGGTGAGCCACGGGTGGTGAGCCACGGGTGGTGGCCCGACGACTGATGGCCTGACGGGTAGCCAGCCAGCCGACCACTGACCCAACGGGTGATGGCCTGGCAGGTGGCCAGCCAGCCGACCACTGGCCGACTGTGGTGGTCCATCACTCGGCCTGAACCAGCGAAGCAGGCAGCAGAGAGAGCAACCACAGATGCAGGCAGCGATAGCAACCGACCGATCGTGCAAAAGGAGATCACACAGTGGCATACCGATCACACTTGATCCATCCATGTCACACATACCAACCCCCCAACCCCCCCCTCCCCTCCCCCCCCTTCTCATGGCTCAGACCATGCTCATACACCGGCAGCCACTCCACTCACCCTCCCCACCCCGCCCACCCTCCCATCCCCCATGCCTCCGCCGCCCTCTGCCCTCGCCCTCGCCCTCGCCCTTGCTCTCATGGCCGCCATCGCCTCGGCCGCTCCCACGCCTGCCGCTGTCGACGCCTTCAACGCGTGGTACGCAAGCCATGCGCTGACCACCCCGCCTGTGGCCGCGGCGCGTGGCGAGCCTCCAGCCGGCAACTACGTCGTCGCCACCCGCAACATCGCAAAGGGCGACGTTCTGATCTCGCTCCCGCGCTCGCTCGCCATATGTGTGCCCACCATCACGGCATCGCCCCACGGCAAGGCTCTCGCTCCGCTCGTCGATGCCCACTCGGCCGTCGCCATGGCCCTCTTCCTCCTCCACGAAAAGGCATCCGGCCCGGCTTCGCCCTGGGCGCCCTGGATCGCTATCCTCCCGCGCTCCGTCGATGCACCACACGCGTGGTCTGCTGTCCAGAGAGCAGTCCTCGCTGGCGATCCTGTGGTGGCCAAAATCGACTCGGCCCGCACCGCCCTCCTCGCAGAGTACAACAATCAGGTCAAGCCGTGGCTCGCCCGCCAGCGCTCCGGCCTCTGGGCCTCTGCCCCGCACGCTTTCTCGCTCAAACGCTTCATCTGGGCCCGCTTCATCCTCGACTCGCGCGCCTGGTTCCTCCAGGGCGTCCGCTACCTTGTGCCCATGGCTGACATGTTCAACTTTGCGCCATCGGACGTCCAGCTCTCGTCCGCCGCACGCTCCACAACCCGCGGCGCCACCTTTGCTGCATCGCATCGCGTCAGCACCAGCTCGGTTGAGGTCCTCGCCGAGGCCTCCGTGACGCGAGGCGCAGAGGTCACAGAGTCGTACGGCGACAACGATTCGAGCGTCTACTTCCGCTACCATGGCTTTGTCCCGCGGCTCAATCCGGACAACTGCGTCCCGCTCCGCCTCGGCCCCTTCTCGCCCTCCTCGCATCCGACCCTCTTCAACGTCCTCACCCCGCTCCTGCAGGCCCTCAACATTCCGCGCAAGGACTCGTTCTGTGCCTATGATGCAGACTCGCCGCTGAGACAGATTCCCGCCTGGGCCCGCCTCCTCGCCCTCCTCGCCGCAGCCTCGCCCGCCGACGCAGCCGCCCTCGCCGCCCGCCACGCTGCCGCCCCGGACGCCACCCTCGCCGCTCTCCGCGACGCCGCAGCCTCGACGCCATCGGCATCCATCGCCGCCGCCGCTGCCGCCGCTCTCGACGCGTACCCCACCTCGCTAGGTGATGACGAGGCCCGCCTTGCCACCCTCGACGCCATCCCGCCTGCGCAGCAGACCAAGACTCACGCCCGCGAAGCTATGGCCCTCCTGTTTATCACGCAGCGCAAGCGAATCCTCCACCAGCTTGTTGCCGCTGGGCCCGAGCCTGGCGTCGCTACACCCTCGCTCGCTGACATTGTCAACGCGCCACGCTCTGCTCGCAAACGCAAGCGCAAGCGCAAACGTGCCCGCAACTGAGCGGATGTAACCAGGTCGCGTGCTTGCACGCTCGAGGGCATTTACCTGCGTCCGGCCTCGGCCTCCTTCAACGCGTCGACAAGCACCCGGTTTCGCTCCACAACCTGGTCAATCTTGTCGAGCTGGACTTCCAGCAGACTCGCCGCCCCGTCGTCGGTCCGCACCACCGCCTCGGCCCATCGCTGGAGCTGGACCGATGCCCGAAGGGCAACCACGAGTGCGTGCTGCTCCTCGCCGACGGCGAGGCAGAGCCGTGCTCCGATCGCCGCCACCTGCGGCCCGTGCTCTTCAGCAGGGAGCAGCTCGCCCAGACTACACATCTGGGTGTACACCTCGGTCACCTTGTGGGTCTCCTCAGCCCAGCCGGCGGCGGCGAGGACCCGGTCGTCAAGCGTCGCTGCCGCGCGCCACACAGCTTCCATCCATGCCTCGCGCTCTTCAGGCGCCCGCGCCTCGAGTGCTGCTGCCGCTGCCTTCAAGCTGCTGGCATCGGCTGCCAGCGGCGCCTCAAACAGCGCGTTCGAGAACAGGCCGTGTGCAACCTTAAAGAACGCCAGCCGCCGCGACGCCACCTCGTCGCTGCCGGCCACACGCTCCAGCGCATCCATCCGCTGGCTAAACTCGGACTCGAGTGCGCCCATCACGTTGCTTGCCGCCACAAACACCATCAGCACGCGGGTGAGCTCACTCTCCTGCCCGCACAACAGCCCGCCCCAAACCTGGTACGCCTCGGCAACCGCACCGCTCAGCAGCGCCACATCCACCTCGGCATCCTTGAGCCCGTACTGGGCAGGCTTCCCGCGGACCGTCGACAGTGCCTCCACGAAAAACGACGAGTCGTCGGACACACCCGCCCCGTACTCGTCCGCCACGAGCAAGTCGAGCTCGTCGCGCCCACCGAGCACAAGCGACGCATTCAGCGACTCGTCGCCTTCGCCGCCGGTCGAGCCCGTCTCGCCACCTGGCGAGCCACCGTCGTGGACACACAACACTGGAAGCCGTGACTTGAACACCCGCCGACCCTTATCTGGCTGAATCCGAGCCGCGTGCGCCAGCAGCACACGCCCCACCTCCTGTGCCCGCGGATAACGGAACGACAGCACCACCGGGAGCGCCGCAGCCTCCTCGCTGCCGCTCTCCGTCGAGCACAGTGTCCGCGCCTCGAGCACCACATCCATGATCCGCAGCGCCTCGTCGGTCATCGTGTGCGGAAGCGAGTGCACAAGTGGACTCAGCGCATTCCACCCGCTCTCGTTCACAACGTTCACGAGCGTCTCCATCCGGTCACTCGCCAGTAGCCGCCCCAGCAACGCCAGCAGCGGTGAGGTGTACTCGCGGACAGAATGTTGCGTCCAATGGCTCAGCAGCGCCAGTGCCCCGTTGAGCCCTGCTCGCACCGTGGGCACAACCAGCAGTGCATCCCACATGTGGTCCATAAACCCCTCGGCGCTCACAAACTCGCGCTCCACATACGCTTCGAGTACCTGCCCAAGCACATACCCACTCTCGCCGTGGATCTCAGCCCACACCTCGCCCCACAGCTGTCCGAGCTCGCCCGCAACGCCCACCGCAGCCTCGGTCCGCCGCTCGTCCTCCGCCGATCGTGCTTCCTCGCCCTCAAACCCGCTCACAAGGAGCGGGAGCGCGCCGAGCGTAAGCGCAACCCCGGATTCGTCGCTCGGCCCCAGCAGGAATGGTGCCCCCAGCTCCATGCACACCCTCGCAAGCTTGCACCCTGTCGCCATCACACGCCGCGCTTCGAGCTCCACAACAGAGTCAATGCCGCGGAGTAGGAGCGGCACAATGCCCACAAACTCACCGTCGACCAACCCAAAACTGTCTGCGCCGCTCTCGTCACTGCCAAGTCCGTAGCCTGCTTCGCCGCGGCAAGTGACAGCCTCAGCCGCATTGCTGCTGCTCGACTCGCCAGACTCACTGCCATCGTCGACTTCAAGCCCCAGTCCAGACTCATCAAGTACCGACTCGTCAAAGATAGCAAAGCTTCCACCACCAAGCTTCGGTGGTAGGCCCTCGTTGCCACCCATACCATGCGCCTTGGCTTTGGCCTTGGCCTTAGCCCTGGCCTTCGCTTTCGCCTTTGCTCTGGCTTTTGCCTTGGCCTTCTTGCGCCGCATAAGCGGCCGCATGGCTGGAAGCCGGCCTGACGGCACAGCGTTGACCACGCCGCTCAGAACCTCCAGCGGTGCGTCAGCGGCAGCGCCCAAGAGCGCCACAGCCTCGACAAAAATCTCAGCCGACTCGACAAAGAGCAGCCCAAGCGCCATGCCCCACACCCCGGTCACCACATCAGACACCACCGAGCCCGTGCCATCGCAGAGCGCAGAGTCGAGAACCACCCCCGCAGTGCGGATCGCCTCAATGACCACAGCCGTCTTGAGGCTCGCGCGCGACGCCACGTGCTGGCCGGCAATCCGCGTTAGGTCGCCGACGTAGTCAAGTGAGACGGTTGGGCGAAGAGCGCGGAAGATCTGCAGTGAGCGCGCCGCAGCATGCAGCACCATGCACGAGCCAGCCCACTTGAGTGAGACCCGTGCCCACTTGGTCACCTCGCGTGGCGTGAGATTGAGGACGTGAACAAGCTGCTCCACGAGCATTGAAAGCTGCTGTGTCGATGCCAGGCTCCGGCGCGAGAGCGAGAGATCCTCGTACTCCCACAGTTGACTGCTGCCCGACGTCTGCACGTGCTCGATGATGTCGAGCGCAGTCTCGCGGCGAGCAACAGCCTCCTCGTCGTCATCGGCCTCGACCCATCTCAGGACGTTGACCACTTTTGAGTAGAGCAGGTTGCAGAGGAGCGAGCTTGCAGACTTGGACACGTTCTCCTCGGGATGATCGCCACAGATAAGGGTAGCGTGCAGAAGCAGCGCAACATGCCCGTCGAGCTGGTCCGGCACAAGCAGCGCGACCTCTTTGAGGAGCTGGAGCGAGAGTGTGGCCCGTGCCACTAGCTTCCCAATCTCTTCAGCATCGAGCTGGAGTTCGTCCATGTCGGGCGACTCGATCACCCATCCGTCCTTGATCATGGCAACGAGGACGTCGACCACAATCGTAGGAGCAACAGCAACAGCCTGGGCCACAACAGCAAGTGCTACCGAAAAGAACGAGACGTCCATCTGCCGCGTCTCGTACAGCTCAAAAGAGCGCGGAGCACAAACTCGACGTTGACGCCCGAGCCAAGCAGGCCGGCCCAGAGCTTCATCGAGTCCATCGACGACGTCGCCAGCAGCGAAACATGCACAAGATGGTCAACAACAGCAGCAGCCGCCTCGGCGCTTCCGCCAAAGACCTCGGTCAGTGAAGCTCCGCCGAGCTCGAGCCAAGGCACAAGCACCTCGGCGAGGACAGCCTGCAGAGGCACGTCGCGCGACTTCATGCCCAGCGCCTCCATGGCATCCAGCATGCCGTGGATCATCCGCTGCGCAAGCGGGTTACCCAGTCGACAGGCAAACTGGGCCGAGAGCTGGACTGCAGCTTGAATGTGGGCAGTTGGGAGAACAGTGAGGACGCCGACAATGTCGAGGCCCGAGTCCCGGAACAAGTCCTCGCCGTCGGCGAGAAGGCCATACAAATTCTTGAGAAAGGTGGCCGCGAGCTTGCGAACGTGCTTGACCGGCGCTACCGTCTTGACAAGTCCGAGCACTACAAGCGGTGCCGGATCGTGGGCGAGCGCAAAGGCCGAGCGCGCCTCGGGATCGGCAGCCGGAAACGCGTCCTGGAGCATGCCGGCGAGGCGGGCGAAGAAAGCGCTTGCCACGTCGTCAATGTGCGAGTACGCGGCCCGGACTGCCAGATGCCACACGCGCAAATCGTCGGCGTTGGTCGTGAGGAGCAGCTCGAGGCCAAGCTCGCCGGCAGCATGGTATGCTGCGTACTCGGATGTCAGCCCCTCACAGATCCACGAGACGACGCTGTCCTCAGGCAGGTCCAGCAGCGGGCCGCTGAGCATGAGCGCCTGGGTGTGCAGTGCAGCCTGTGAGAGCTCCTCCATAGCAGCGCCGACCCTCATCCGGGCCGCGGATCGGGCATCCTCCGACGCAAACCTCGCCGCGAGCGTGACCTTGACCGACGGCGACACCAGGGCCATGTACTCTTCATACTTGTCGCCAAAACCAACCCACTCGTGGGCAAGCTGAAAAACACGCGCGCGCTGGGTGGGGCCCCAGCCGATGCCGCCCTCAACAACACCCTCAACCTGAACGGCGCATCCTGCGAGCTTGCAGAACGCCAGGCGGAGCATGTGCAGCTCCCATGAGTACTCGAAGCGAAGGAGTGTGAGCAGCTCCAGCAGGAAGAGTGTGAACGACGAGAGACGACTTGCCGACGACTTGCCCCCGATCTGGCGTGGAGACGCCGGATGCGAGTTGTCAAGCTCATCAGCAAAGTTGGCCATGAGATTGTCAAGCTCGGCATCAGCGCCAGCTGCGCCTGAAGCCACGAAAAAAGCCACGCCTTGGTTGGCGATGAGCCGGACATAGACTTGGGCCACCTTGGAGAGAAGCGCGAGCGGTGGCGCGTAGCACGCGTGCGTGGCGGTAAAGTTGAGTATGCCGGCAGGGAGCTCGGCAGAAGCTAGCGCGCTCTCGTCCGGCGCAACGTTGACCAGCTCGGACTTTGTGGTGAGAAGCGCGGCAAAGAGCGAGCGCCACGCATCCTCAAACTCGGCGAGAACAGAGAGAAGAACGTCGACCGAGGCCCGATGGATGGAGCCGAGTGAGACTGAGACCGCAAGGCGGACATGCGGCGAGCGCGCGGTGAGGAGCGGAGTGAGGGCGACAAGAAGCTCAACAACGTCCGACGGCGGCTCGATGGCAAACGACGGCGCGGCCGAGAGGTCCGTAAACGGCGTGTCCTCCAGTGCAAGAAGCGGCTGTTCGGTGCCATGTGCCCAAACAAGCGGGACAGCGTGGCCCGCGGCAGAAGCAAACATGAGAAAGTTGCGGAAGAGGCCCACGATGGCGGCCGAGGCCGGAGTAGCACCCACGTCGGGAGACGACAAGTGTGCCACCACAAATGGAAGCCGTGATGCGATGGCAGCCCAGATGTCGTCGACGAGGCCCGGAACAAGCTCGACGGCAGTTGACGCCAACTGGCCAAGGAGCAGCGTCCACTGCGCCTGGGCACGAGAGTCGCGAGCCTCGATAAGATGGGAAAATGTGGTGGCAGGTGCGGCAGATCGAAGCGAGGCGCCCTCGGTGTTGCGCTTGAGCGAGGCGTCGGCCTCGGACGCAAGCGTGGTGTGGATAGCAGGTGCCGGCCCTGCGCCATGAAGCACAAAGTGCGAGAGGCCAAGCGCAGACGGCGGTGGCTCGGTCGGCATCCAAAAGCCCGAGTTGAGCTGGCCATCGACAGATCGTGACGAGAGGGCAACCGAAGGGCGAGAGAGTGGTACAGCAGCTGGCGCAGCAGCTGGCGCCGCCGGTGTAGCGCGAGCGACTAGGACCGAGTCGAGCTCATCGATGACGTCCATAAAGGCCATCTTCATCGACGCGGCGCCAAAGAGATTACCAGCGGGTCCGTCGTCATCAGAGAGCAGATTGTCAAACGAGGCAAAGAGCGCGTTGTGAAGCTCGCGAAGGGCATGAAGCATGTCGAGGCCGGCAACCCGGTTCGAGGCAATGGGTGAGCAGAGGAGGAGAACACCGAGCGCTTCCGGCGTGTGAAAGTCCATGCGGGCATGAGCGCGGGCAGCCTCGAACGAGTCGTCGGACGAGTGCCCACCCGAGTTAGGACAGTCAAACGACCAGGTTGCCTCCTCGGCGAGGCCACGAAGCCATGCGGCAACGGAAGCGCCGAGCGCCTGGATCGGAGACGCCGGAGGAAGCGGGCGGTCGAGAACCAAGCTGGCGTCTGCAGCGGCAACAAGAGCGGCAAAAATCGGCGGTCGTAGCGAGGGCTGAGCCTCGGTTAGTGAGGCAATCATGTCGCAGGCGGCGACCGCGACGGCAGAGGTCGGTGCGTCGAGGAGTGAGATGACAAAGGCTGGAAGCTGTGGCACCGAAGCAATCAACTCCGGGCAGTGCGTAAGAAGCGGCGGAAGCGCGTCGAGGAGAGCAAGAAGGTATGCCGGCGACGAGGTCGAGGCTGAGGCCGAGTCGAGAGCGGCAGCAAAAGTCGAGGGCAGCCAGCCAAGCGCGTCGGCGTCTTGGGCGCGGACGAGCGAAGGGTAGGTAGGGAACCGCGTCGTGGCTGCGAGCGTGCCAACGCCGGTCACAGCCTCGGTGGCCGATGCTGATGCGGCACGGTCGGACGGGTACCGGAGCCCGAGGTTGGGTGACTTTGGAGCGAGTAGAGCTCGAAGGGTGAGAAGACCAACAAGAGCATGCTGCGGCGAGGCCGACGGCGCAAGAAGCGTCTCGCCAAGCACGGAGCCAAGGAGCCAGTCACGGCGCGCGTGGGCGAGAATGACCAGCAGAGTGACCGCGTCGGATGATGGGAGCCCGTGAGACGCGTCGTCGACAACAAGATGGACGCGGTCGTCGAGAAGAGCTTCCAGGAGGGCATCGAGCGCTGTGCTGAGCTCACTCTCGGGCACGAGGGGGCCATGCGGTGAACAAGGACCCAGGCAAGCTGGGCGAGGCCGAGAAGGGCGGACGCGGCAGAGGTCCGCTGACGAGCAGCGGCAGCAAGGGCAGCAATGAGCAGCGTCACCTTGTCCATGAAGAGCTGCGGTGACGAGACGGCAAGAACCTGGACTGAGGCCGCGAGGGCGCGAGAAGCAAGGACTCCAGCAGGAGTGCCGGGTACGGCCGGAGCGGCAGCGAGGGATGCCAGGACCGGAAAGAAGGCAATGGTGACCTCGTCAAGACCGCTCGAGTCGTCGCGCAAGGCCGCGCCACGGTCGATGCATGCCGGAAGCGGGGAGACGAGGTCAACAAGGGCAAGGCAGGTGGCAGAGGCGAGCGAGGTGTCGTCCGAGGCTAGGGCAGCCGAGGCAAAGTCAAGAAGAAAGGCACGCGTCCGCTGGAGAGCGGCAGCGGTGGAGACGTCGAGACGTATGAAGCGGATGCCTGCAATGAGGGCCGGGGATGGCCCCGGAATGGACGCAACCTTGGTCATGATTTCAGACTCGCGCCAGGCCGAGAGCTTGCCGATGAGACGGGCAAACAGAACAGCGAGCTGGGCCTCCTCAACCTCGGCGGTGACGACGGGCGGGGTGTCAAAGAAGACGCCACAAAAGTGCAGCTCGGAGAGAAGAAGATCGACGAGGCGGGAGACGTTGTCGATGGGATGGGCCACAATGTGGTCAGTCAGCTCCACGTCCGAGTCGTTGTCCAGCAGCGCGGTATCGAGGTCCATGGCGTCGAGGACCATGAGGAGAGCGCGGGCAAAGATAAAGTCGACAGCCAGAGCACGGCGACGCGGAAGGACATCGGGATCCGGGCCGGCGAGCGCAGAAGTCCGCCACTGAAGGAGGAGGGCAAGAATGTGATTGAAGCCGTGTCGAGCCACGACAGTGATGGCGGCGAGCACGTGCTCAACCTCGGGATCTGCGCCCTTGCCCAGCACATGCGCCGCTGGAAGATCGACAATGCTCCTGCAGAGCTCATCGATGCGAGAGGCAGCAACAGCCTGGAACTGATGGACGGCGGCGAGGACAACACTGTCGGCAAAGGCTGCCACGCCTGCGGCCCGAGCCGGGGTCACTACGCCTTCGCCCGCACCCGCCTGTCCTGGAGTGCTTGGCGGTGTGCACGGTTCGCGCGGTTGCGGAGGCGGGGGAGTGTTCTCGGTCTCCATGAGAAAGTGAGGGGGATAGGAGAGGGTGTGGGAGGGCGGAGGTGGAGGGGTTGGAGGGAGTGGAGGGGGTGGAAGGAGTGGAGGGGTGGAAGGGGTGGGAGTGGGCTGACTGGCGCCAAATGCGTTTTAGGCGCGAAGGAGTCGGTCATTTTGGGGGGAATGGGAGGGGCGTGGGGGGGGGAGAGGGGGGGAGGGGGGGGGGGGAGGGGGCGGAGAAAATTTGATACCAGGTCCCCAGTTGGACATGGTTGGGGTGCCTGACCCACGCAAGGAGCGGTGGTGGGGGAGTGGAAGCTACCGCCACCGTCACCGTCACCGCCGACACAGCGACACGCTTGTCTTTGAACCAGGCGTACACTTGCGATCTAGGTAGTTGCAAGAGGAAGGCGGCAGCGTAGTAACAAAGTAGAAACAGACATGTCGTCGTCGTCGTCGTCGTCGTCGTCATCGTCGAAGGCAGCGGCAGCAGCAGCGGCAGCGGCGGAAGCAGAGGCGTCAAAGACGGCAGAGTCCATGAGCTCGGCATCGGCAGGCTCCAAGTCTACATCGTACACGCTGGACGAGGCGACGTCGACGGATTCGGCGGAGGATTCGGCGGCGGCAGCGGCGGCTGAGGCCAAGGCCGCGGCGGCGGCGAAGCAGGTGCAGCGGCAGCGCGAACAGGCTGCGGTCCGGGCAGCGCTGACCTCGATCTACACGTACCCGCCACGGCCGGGAACCAAGTATCGTGAGCGGCGCAAGTGGATTGAGGCCAACCGCGAGGTTGTGGTGACCAATGCCGAGACCGACAAGGAGAAGGAACTGCCGCCTGGTACCACAGGCGGCGTCGCTGGCGCCGCGACCGCGGATGAGGTGGCGGCAAGCACCTGCTCAGCGTCCGAGTCGGAGGCATATGCCGACTCGAACGACGAGAGCAACGGATATGGCGAGTATGATGGCTATTATGACTATGACAGCTATGACGGCTACTACGACGACTACGATTACTCGGACCTGGGCTATGCGTACAGCGACGACGATGTGGAGGCTGCAATGGCGAGTCCGGGCCCGCAGGGTAAGGGAAAGGCCTCAAAGAGACACAATCATCAGCGCTATGGCCGAGGCGGACGGCGGCATCGGCGTCATGGGCGCCACCGGCGCCACGGGCGACATCGGCACCATCGGCGCCACGGGCGACACGGGCGCCATCGGCATCGGCATGGCGGCCGACACTACCACCATCGCCCTGTGCATCATCGCCACAAGCGGCACCGGCGCGAGTACAAGAAACGGACGCGGTACACTCGAGCGGACGGAAAGAACCCGAACAAGCTGCCGCGCGACTTGTTCACTCGCCCGCGGTCGGCGTGGTCGGTGAACGACAAATCGTTCTACCGACGCGTCTACCTGGTTGTGGTCATGCAGCTTGCAGTGGTAGCAGTCATGGGTTCGATATTCTTCCACTCGCCGGGTGTGCACGAGTGGATCCAGGAGCGGTGGTGGCTGCTGTACGTGAACCTCGCGCTCTCGATCGGGGTGCTCCTGATGTGGTTCTGCTGCTTTGCCTATACACCTGTCATCTCGCACCTGCTCTTCTCGCTCTTCACGATACTAGACGCGGCACTCATCGGGTTCATTGCAGCGTTCTACGACTCGTCGCTGGTGCTGCAGGGCGTGCTGGTGACCGGCATTGTGTTTGTAGTCCTCACGCTGGTCACCTTCAACACACGGTACGACTTTTCGCAGTGGGGCTCGATGCTCTCGGCCATGCTCATCATCCTCATTTTCGGCTCGATTGTGCGCATGTTCTTCCCAGGCAACTCGCTGCTTGGGTTTGTGCTCACCATGCTCGGCGTGTTTGTCTTTTGCGGCTACATCATGTACGACACATGGAAGCTGCGGTTCTTCTACACACCGGACGAGTATCTGTTTGCCGCAATGGACCTGTATCTCGACATCACCCGGCTGTTTGTGTACATCATGGAGCTGTGTGGCGAAATGACGTTCCCGTCGACTACAAACGTCAACATCTCGCGCCAGTACCGCGGTCTCAACGGCATCGGAACCGACGGCTGCTGCTGCTGCGGCAATGCGGCGTGTGACGAGGGCTGCGGACCGGTAGTCATCGACCGGCTCTCCATCATCTGCAACTGCTGCGAGTGTTCGTACTTGGCCTGCTGCACCGATGTCTGCTCCGACCCGTCCGGCTCGCTCCAGCCGCTCTGCGACTGCCTCGACTGCTTCGTCCAGGTCTTTGCCTACCTCATCATGCACTGCTGCGAGCTCGGCTGCCTCGTTGTCGAGGCCTTTGCGTAGCCAGGTAAATGGTCCGAGGGAGAGCACACGCGACGACGGTCACGACGACGATGGCGCCGCAGCCACCACCGCGTCCAGATCAGTCTGGAGCTTGTCGTCAGCCAACGCGACCGAGCGGGGAGGAGGAAGAAAGGAGGCAAGGCGGTGGCCAGCGCCCCAAGCGACGGCGACAGCCATGAGCGACGAGGTCGGGACGATGCCGGCGGCGGTGGCGACGTGGGCGAGCGAGAGACCCCAAAGATAGATGACGACGGCGAGGACGGCCTCGACCATCCGCACGCCGCGAACAAGCTGTGCGGCGGTGGCGTCAGAGACGGCCTGCGCCTTGCGCGTCGTCTTCTTGGCCTTGTTCAGCACCCGCTTCGCCTTGGCCCATACCACAAAGTTGCTCGGCGTGTTGAGCTTGGCCACCTTGGCCTCGGCCGTAGCAAGCGCAGCCTCCGAGACGCAGTCGTCCGTCGGCGGCGGGACAAGGCTCTTGGCGCTCTGCGAGGCGTAGCCGGTCGCCGTGTATGCGCAGGTCAGCAGCCACCAGAGCCACATTGGTGGACGGGAAGACGAGTGAGTAGATAGCGTAGAGCTCGCGCGGGGAGGAAGGGTGGGATCATCGGCCGACCTGCAGCTGATTCGAGTCGAGCGCAAAGGCGGAGGCAACTGCGCGAGCTGCTGTAGCCGAACATCGGAATCAGCCAGAACGGTTGTAGAGTAGGCCTTCGCTGCCTCTGCTCGGATTGCGCCATTGGTATTGTGATCGCTAGGCGATGAACCATTCCCCGGCCGCCCCCTCCAACAACAACAACAACAACAACAACAACTGCTGGCGCAGCGGCCTTTGGCGTGGCGCCAAGCGGAGGTAGCACTGCGACGACGACAGCGAGGCTACGGGCGGAAAGGGAAGACAGGCCATCGCCGACTGCGAAAGTCCTCGAGGTGCAGATCGGGCAGCTCGATGAAAGTGATGGGGTGCTTAGTGGTAGAGCATGACAGGGCGGAGCCTTGCGCCATTTTGGGAAATATGGAGTGGCAGGTACGCGGAAGCAGACCAGAAACAGACACTACTACCCACCGCACCCAGACCGCATACTCCAGTGCTGCATGCTCCAGTGTTGCTGCAGTAGTGCACACACCACAGCAGAGGAGAAAGCAAGTGCTACCAAAAAGGCACCAACTACAAAGCTACGAAACACATATCTTGCATCATAGTCACATCCCACCATTGCCATCGCCCATAGAGAGCTCACACTCGCTCCAATCGTCGCTGACCGTCATCGTCCTGGCCTGAGCGGCCCGCAGTTTGATGAGCAGCATGGCCCGGCCCGCACCACCCGCTCGCCTCAAACCAACTCAGACGGACAAACTACATAAAAGCGTCGAGCCAAACAGCTCTGCCACCGATGGACGCCATTACTGGGGCAAGAGCATCGGCCGAGGCACCTGGCCTACATCACGATAGAACATTGGCAGGCACTTGGCCTCTACAATAAGTAAACAAGGGATGACAACCATGCACTGGCGAGGAAAAAAGCCAAGGAAAGTGGCAGAGGGGGAAAGGGAGGGGGGGGGGGGGGGGGGGGGGGGGGGGGGGAAAAAA